TTAACATTTTAGTCAACATGTGTCATAATAAGACAAGATTCATTTTCTTGCAGTAAAGTGAATGCTGCACTGATATGCTATGAGAAATGGAAACCAGACTTATATATGTCTTTTTATTGCTTAATTTATATTCTCTACCTAACCAACAAATGAATCTGCAACTTGCCACTAATGCCGAACGTGCTTGAATGTAAGTTTTTCTGAATAGTACATTCTTCTCATTTTAATTTAATTGTTGTTACTGTTCTTGTGACTGCAATTTAAAGTAATTTGGGCAAAGCTGTAAATTTCAAAACAAATAAAACTGAGCACAAACCAGAAGTGGTTGTAAGACTAGAGGGCCAACAGAATACGGTCACATTTCTATCCCAAATGTAGCACATAATGTTTTAAGAGTAGTCTTCGATAATTAGTGAATAATATGCAGCTGCCTCACCTTAAAATGTTAAAAGCAAACTCGCACCTTTTTACTCTAGGCAAGCAGAAAATGTAATATTTGTTTCATTAAATTTCTGAAGTTCTCCTAATCCAAAGACGGTTATGGCACACATTCCAAACTATTGTTTTCACCCCTATATTAAATTTTGCTTTTCCCCAAATTAAAAGGCAAGCATTAGAACCTATGATGATTTAAACCTCACAGGGACTCAGGCCACAAGATGCCCTGAGAGAAAAACCTATTGAGGCGCATTACTGACCACTACAGTTAATGTTGCAACCATTTTGCAAGTTGATGATTTAGTCATTGCACCACAAGTAGCTGTTAATTTGAAAGATCCCAAAGTCAGTTGATCTGTCATTGTTGGTGTTTTTGGCCATGGTGTTATAGTTTGACTCCCATTGGATGAGTCAAACCCCTGCAGACAGAGCAGAAGAGATGGATTTATATCCAACCAAAAAGCTAAAGCTCAGGCACTGAAACAAATCCAATCACATATTAATGCTTAGTCAGAATCCCAGACTTAACAGGGTTTCCCTAGTTAAAACACAGATCAATATGTCTGAAGATATGCGTTGTCGTTACATGGATAACAGTAACCTTACAGTAACATTTCACTGGTAGCGTAGTAGAAGTTGAATCTTATCTTGTATTTTCTTAAGCTGACAGTATAGTACTCACATTCGGCAAGGCTGACTCCATAGTAGCCATCTATCCCATTAGCCCTGAGTGTGCAGGCCCATTCACAGCACTCGAAGATTTTGCCATTGGCTGCAGCCAGGAAGAGCAAAAACCAACAGGCTCCTCATGATGGTATTTTTGCTTGTCCAAATGTCTCTAAAGCTGCTGCTGCTTTCCCTTTTTATTGGCAAAAATGCTCAGCTGCTGCCCAGGCTTGCTTTTGCATCAAAGTGGAAAAGCAAGCAGTATTGACCTTATGGTTAAAAAATAGAGCTGTACAAACAAAGCATATCGATCCAGCTGAGAAAGATCCCCAAAGTTTGGAGAAGTTCTAACTAGATAAGAGGACCCAAATACACACAAGGGAAGGGTTAGGTAAGAATAGAAATACAAGCAATGGTGAATTTACAGTAAAAAAAAAAATACATCTGAACAAACAAAACACGTTGTTTGGGCTGAAATAGAGTTTCTTGTCTGTTTTTACTTAAGAAAAGGTCTAATCAAGGACACAAAGCATTCCATATTTACTGATTTATTTAGAGCACATGAGACCACATTTTCTTAATTTTTTAAATGAGGAATGAAAAACACTGAAAGAGTAGAGATTTTAACTGATTTTAATCATTTGGGTCACCCAATATGTTTTCCTTTCAAAGTAGAAACAGAGAAGGATGGAGAAAATTTACTATGTCGATGACACCCTTCTGTTTATGTGTTGATTAAAGACCACATCCGGACAAATAGGGCCTGAGATCCTGGCCCTGACAGCGAGCGCGCCAGGCAACCCTAAAACCAGATTCAAAGGTCAGTCCAATGAACACAGAACTATCAGTGCATCCCAATCACATAATGATCTGTTCTTACCAGGCTGTGATGCCTTGTTCCCTAACGATACGTTTGGCACAATTGATCGCAGAGGTGACATCATCTGTCAAAAGCACTGTGGCCAAAGGGGGAAAGAAAAAAGTTAACACTGTGGAATAATAAGGACAACATCTGGGAAAAGTGAGTCAAAGTGTTTTTTATCAAAAACACTTATATATATACACAAAATCAATATTACAGATTGAGAAAAGAAAGTAAATAAATCAGTTTTAGAATAAATCAAGAAATGTATTAAGCCACTGAAGATGATTTACTGCTGAACATAACCTCAGATCATCACTGACCGTTGCAGTCAATGTTGCATCCATTTGCTGAATGAATGCGGCGGTCATTGCACCACCAGCGGCTATTTATCTGAAAGATGCCGAAGTCAGTGGATCCATCAGTGTTACGATTTGTTGCCTTTGTGTTATAGTTTGACTCATGTTTGGTCAGGCAAACCCCTGCAGACAGAACAGAAGAGATGGAAATGCAATGCCTGAAAGATAAAGGACAAGAGTCCTTTGCACATCCTCAACTAACTACTTCTCACATGCTGACACTTTATTACAGTCCCTTCTCGTCATATTTTAACCCTCTGATTTCTTAGGTTCATCTGTGATTAACCCTAATCACAGACAATCAGAGTATGTAATTTTTTAGAGTGGAATATTTTGTAATAAAGAAACCTTCCTCTGTCTTGGCTCTACCTGAGCTGTGAGATACATCTATAACGCCGACGTTAACTCTAAAAAGCAGTGGAATAAAAAGTGGCAGCATGATGGTTAGTGGAGGAAAGATTTGTAAGAAGTATTTAAGAATTGATGAAGCTGATCAGAAAGATGACTTTATGCTCTATGTTTCTATCTCACATTCAATCACTTTTGCTCATGAAACCATGTACAACTTTTTGCTCTGATCATTTAATAAATAAACAAACTTGGATTGCAAAACAGAGACATTTCTCTTCAGGGTCTTACCAAAAACTCAGAAATTGTTACTGTTATATTTTCTTTCAACCTGACTTCATGACAATCAGCACCATACATGACATTAATTGATAGTTCATCGAACTCTTACTGATGCCAGAGAACCACTAAGGGAAAAAGCTACGTTAGCTTTGTTCTGATATATAATCTCCAGTTACTTGTGCCAAATATCCATATAAATGGGTAGAGATGAACCTACTCCTGACTCTTATCCCAGTCACTTCAATGGTGAACTGCTTATTTTGGTGACCATCCAGGGTTGATCACCTTAGATTGTTTAAGTAAAAGCCTGTACTCACAGTTAGCCAGGCTGACACCACCATAGCCATCCATCCCGTTTGCCTTCAGCTTACGGGCCCAGTCACAGCGCTCAAAGACTTTAGCACTGGCCACAGTTATCAAAAGCAAGAAAACAAACACACTCCTCATGATGATGTCTGTGCTGTTTCACAGTTGCTGCTGAATCTCCTTATTGCTGAAATAGCTCAGCTGAAAAAGCTGTGACTGTCTGGGTTCAGATCAGAGGATCCAAATGCGCAATAAATGATGGGTTACGTGAAAAAGCTGGGTTCATGATTACACAATCCAGAGAGACAAATAAAACACACTGAACGGGATGAAATGTATTCCAAAGTTCAGGAAAGTTAACAAACAATAAATAAAACCCAATGAAGGCACTGAGCCCAAAGAAACACTAAATGGAAAGTCCAAATTACTCATATTTGAGATGCTGCTCTAATGGCAGCTCACTGTGACAGCAAGAATAGGAAAAGGGTTTGTAAGGTGTAGCAGAATTATAACAATGTAATGGCCAGGTATTACATGCTTTTCATTAGAAAAATGATGCCATGAACCACTCTAAAATCAACATGTGATGTTATGAAATAAAAAATGATAAAAACAGGCTCACAGAAAAGGTGACTCATGGAATTAGAGGCCAACAGGGTGTGTGCTTGAGCACCACCTGGGGTCTGTCTGTGCATGTGCCAGCCCACTTTGCTCCTTGAGGTGATGGTCAACTTGTAATGCTGTCACACTTTGCAAGAAAAATCAAAAAAAGTTGTTGGACTCCATCTTTACTCTGCAGGTGTAGTGCAACTGAGCTACATCCTTGAAAAAAAAAAGATGAATCTAGGACTATTGAGGATAGATAGGTGCCTAGTTTATACTTTATGTGTTTGGTTTTGGGGTTTAGTGTAAATTTCTAGTAGTAAAGCATAAGCATGGTAAAGATGACCACTCACAGTTGGTATTCTCATTAAAAATGAAAATCAGTGTTTGATTAGTAATCAGTTTTAGACTGCGTTAGCTTTGTTCCTATTTTTGTTAATGTGTGTTATGCCACAAAATGAGCTATATCACTTATGTTTTGGTCTTACATGGTATGACCACGTATCAACTGTTTTATATAGTTTCTATAATGTGTAATTAGATTGGCATACATTAATGTATTTTCTTCTTTTTTTTACTTATGTTTCAGCACAACTTCATGCCCAGCTAATCTAAGGAACTTGGAAAGAAAAGCGTCAGAATTTCTTTAAGTTTCTTGGACACATTTCACCTCTCATCCGAGAAGGTTCTTCAATTCTAAGAACAATTGATGGAGAGTCCCAGATTGAAGCCCTATCAGAGTGTCCCCAAACTTTGGTAAAGGCAGAGGATGATTACAATCTTTACCTAAACCATATTAGGAAACAGATCCAGGTCAATGCCTCAGCCTCTGTATCACCTCTCTTTTGCGAGATTTACCATGTTTGCTACATTGTTGTGCTTCCTTTCACTCATTTTACAGCATCCAGTTTGGGTTAGTTGAGATCTAGGACAGATGATATAAGAATAATTTTGGGATGTTTTAAGGGTGAAATGTGCTGCAGGATCATTAAAACATTAATATTATTTCCCCAGTTATAGCAAGTTCAAATGTATCTAAAAAAACAAACAAAACTGCTGATCAAAGTTCAGTTACCAACACACGCAGAGACTGGGACAAAACATGTTTCAACATATTTGCTCAAATTGACCCGCACTTAAAATAAACAGCACACTGAATATGATAAACACAAAGTGGCTGCACTCAAATCTGCTGCACTTTCTGCTTAATGGGAATCCATTCTATCTGTGATAAGTATGGTTTATGTTAAAGCAACGGCTGGTCATAAAATCTCAACAGGCCTTTGAAGGCTGATGGGTAAAAAGAGGATGTTTCATGCCTTATATGACATTCCTCTTTCTGCATACAAAGATTCCTATGAGTGCCACATACTCTACTCTACTCTACTTTGCTAGACCCTCCCCTGCACAGTTACCGCTGGTTTCCTCTTTGTGGAGCAAAGTGGGCGATAAACAAACGACAGAAAAGCCGATCAGCTGATCACTGATCAGTTTCATGATTTAATTAGCAGAGGGTGGGGAGAGGGGGCGAGAGAAGAAGAAGCACCTGCGATGTCAGGAAGTCAGTGACAGGTAAACCCACAGGAAGTTTTTCTGCCCTATCGGCTACAGGATGATGCGAACTGTTTCTACGAATATGTTACACGATCAACGATCGGAAGATAACAAGTTACGTTAAACAAAATCACTAATTGTGATTTAGGTTCAATACGAAACGTTTGAGGAAAAATCTTAACGACATGCTGTCAGTGAAGGCATCACACAGGTATTGACATGTTGTCATTTAAGTGTATTTATTATTGCCTGTGGCTTCCTGACTGACTTCAGCCACTCACAATGTTTGTTTTAACATTCAGTGAGCGCCTCACAGAGGTACCCATGTTCCCCGTTATGTCAGCTAATTTTGATGCTTTATAGTAAGTGTTGTTCACTTTGACCATTTGAAAACTTTTTCTCTCTTCTTTGTTGCATTTAATTAGAGAAACCATTGCTTTCCCCAAAAACCATCCTGTCACAGGGGAAGAGGAGGAGGTTTTGACCTAAGTGACTGAACTGGTCAAATTGTCGATCTGACATCGAGAGGAGATTGAAGAACCTCTCTCTGCTGTGGCTCCTCTGTAAGTACACTGTAATGATTATCTATGAAAACCTGTTGTTTCTTTATCACAAAACTTCCTGGTTGGTGTGGAATCACGGTTTTTTTCAAGGAGACCACAAAGAACAAAGAGGGTCAACAGGAGAAAGTGTAGAAAATTGGTGCTGATTATAGGTAAATGGGATCATAGACATCTATGATATGAAAAGCTGCTACAATAAAAGTTAGAATCTTACTTGAGTATTAATAAAAATGTTTTATCATCTATAATGTAAATTTCATGCATTCTTCTGAATCATATCAACAATATTATTGGATTATAATTATTTATTTATTTATATGTGTGAATTATTTTAATGTTGCTTGATGTTTGGAATAACCTATATGCTGCTGAGTAACTTTATTTACAATAAAATAAGATCATAAAGTAAGTAGTAAGTAAGCTTTACAATAAATTGCAAGGGACACACATTGTCTAATCTAAACTACAATGGAGCCGAAGAAGAAAACTGCAAAACAAAGAAAGATCTGATTGTGTTATAAAGTGAGGACAATTTCAGTTAAGTGCTGTAAATGTACTGTCAGTATCACTGGTGATGTTACAAGATTACCAGCACTCTAGCCCAGCACACATGTCTCTGTGTAGGACAAGTTTCCTCCTCTCTCTGCTCATCAGTGCGTAACTCAACCAAATCCATGACATCTGTGTTCTCCACAGTCTGGTGGTTTTCTGTTTTCTCTGCTACATCTCACAGATGTAACATTTTCTACAGCTACTTTTAGTACCACTGATATTCATTTAGACTCTTTTTCTCCAATCGATCTTTCTGAGTTAACTTCAATAATTACTTCCTCCAGTTTCACATACTGCGCTGCAGTGGTTTGTATCATATCTATCTAATAGACTCCAATTTGTACATGTAAATGGAGAGTCCTCTTCACACACTAAGGTCAATTATGGAGTTCCACAGGGTTCAGTGCTAGGACCAATTCTGTTTACATTATATGGAACATACATTCCCTTAGGCCAGGTGTGGGCAATTCCAGGCCCCGAGGGCCGGTGTCCTGTAGGTTTTAGATCTCACCTTAGGTCAACACACCTGAATCACATGATTAGTTCGTTACCAGGCCTCTGGAGAACTTCATGACATGTTGAGGAGCTAATTAACCATTTAAATCAGTTGTGTTTGATCAAGGACATATCTAAATGTAGATTATGGGTAGTGTATAAGATGTGTTTGATAGAAATGTAATGATATAGGTCACAAATGACAGCATGTGTATCAGCTGAAAAACCAACACTTACCGTTCTCTTACATCCCCGGTGGGTTCTTAAAGGAAATCACTTTAAGGTTTTAATTTCTTTTTCAGATTTCCATTGTTCCTAATATAATATATAATTTGTTTTTCTTTTCTACTGTATTTATGAGAATATTTAAGTTAATGATTCAGTACAATGTTTCAATTTGACCTCATGGTGGCAGTGTTGTCACACTGGTAAGGTTACGACTGGAACACAGACGAATCTAATAGTGAGCATTGAAGTAAATTTAGAGATTACAGTCTTCAAACCAAAAGTAGTTATCTCTGTTTTCATATGTCATGATCCTTAAAAATATAACCAATCATGAGAATAATGACAAAAAATAATGCAAGAATATAAATAAATGTATAAATAAAATATATACATAAATAAAAATCAATAAATAAAATATAGATGACAGACTGTTAATAATAAGAGCCTCCACAACAGTTATATTCAAAGGCAAAGGAAGGAAATAATTATTATTTATGTTTTTATTATTATCATTGCTGGCAGAACACTTTTCAAATCAAGAAGATCCTGTGTTTGAATCCACCACCTTTCAGTGCCTGCATGTTCCTGTGGGTACTTCAGATTCCTCCACCACAATCTGTCCAACACATCCAACTTATTCCATCTAAAGTGTTTGTTTGATGACCACAGTTTCTTTTTTAAATTTATGTTGACTCACTGCCAGCACAGAGAAAGGAAGTGAAAATTTAGTGGTTCCTCTTGGTTCCACCTCCTCTCTCTTTGGCTGTTCCATCACATGTTGTACCATCTTTAAATATCTTTTTGTTTTTGTCTGTTATTGAAATATAACTGTCAAACATTCACATTAGGCTGTTTGGTATATAGAACACTTTAACAAGGTGACCTCAGACACTTTTAGAAGAAATCTTTGTGTGGATTTTTTTCCATCCTGATCATCAGAAGAGTGTTTGAAGGTGTCAGAGATCCTTCAGAACAACAGTAAGTGTTTAAAATTACGCCTTTCAGTCTTTTAGGTAATCTGACAGGTTGACTGAAGTCTGTGAGCTTCAGTCGATTAACACAAACATAAAAAAATAAATCACCTCAACCAAGTGGAAATGTACTCAGTTACTCGCCTCTACTCTGATTACAGTCATGTCTGTTTCTGCTATTCTTTGTCTCTCACTGTAAATATGTTTGTTTTGTTCTGTGGAGATCATTCAAGAACTGAACCTGTTCTGCTCTTTAATGATGACGCACTTTCTGATCTTCCTGCTGTCCAGCCTCGTCACTCTGATGTGACTTCCTTCAGAGACTT